GTTCATCTTACTGCATTGAAGTTGAGTTTTAACATATCCAGTGGTTTGGACCTGTCATACTATCTAATCATATGTAGAAAACACTGTTGTCACTGAAATTAAATCTAAGTTGAATGGAGATTAAATAAAATGTAATATGTAGTTAATCACTGCATTGTTTATATAGCACTTTTTGTTTTTGCAAAACTATGCAAGATTTGTGGAATTTTGCTCAGATCTGGTTATTTTTCTTCTCAAGTGTGACTAGTTTGCTCCTTCATAACAATTTAGTTGTACACTGAAGTCCTACTAAAACTTTTTTGAAATAATTAAGTACACTGTTGTTTTCCCATAGGACTTTATGTTGTTACATTAAAAATTCAATTAAGCAATTTTACAATCAATGTGTGCCAATGAAATTTGCATTAAAATTCACATCATAGTTCAAAGTTTTATATTATTTAACTTTTAATTCATTTATTTAAAAAGAAACCTTAAAGAAAAATTCATAAACTTCAGTTTGATGCAAAGTTTATAAAATCTTAACTTCTTGATGTACACTAACCTTCCATCTATAGATAGAATCTAGGTTAATTGCTCTGTTTCACGTTCTTTTTTTCAAGCTCCTTAGGGCACGTTCAGAGAAAAAAGACATTTCTTGGAACTCTTGACAGATTCTATGCCCACTTTCTACATGTAGAGTTGCTATTTCTCAGCCAATTATACTTCGTTGAGTTAGATGTTTATAACCAATAGAAAGACCACATTTTAAAATACGATCTCCCAATAGTTATTTTGAAATTAGCACGAAGAATGTCATAGAGAACTTGTCAAACTGCTTTTAGCATTGTTGCTGCTTTTGTCCTTTTATATCTTAGTTAATTATGTGTTATTTAAGTTTTGAGATGCATATTAGAAAGGTGTAACAATTTTTTAAAATATAACCCAATATGTAGTAGGTGAATGTCCCAACATTCTGATGAAGGCTAAAGTGTCTCCGCCATTGATACTCTAATATTGCCCATGAATGCCATTGATGTGTGTTGGGTTAAGTAACAATGCTAAAGAACAGAAAAGGAAAATAAAACATTAAAAATAAACTATGTGAAAAGTAAAAACTCGCAATTAAGAATATAACTGAAAGAAGATTTTTATAAGATTATTCAACAAAAAATTACATGGTGTGTACATTTTTTTTTATTTTCAGTTTTAAACATTTCATTGCACAATATGTTGATGATAATGCTCAAAATATTCAATTTGAGTGTAAATAACTACAAATAAATCCTTAGTTAAAATGCTTAATTAAGACAATCTCATTCTTTTTGTACAAAATACTTTTAGTCTTTAACAATAACTTTCCAATTGTTGTGAAGATATGTTAAGAAAGCTCAGAGTTATTGTAAGTATTGTTAAACTGTGTATCATCCTCCATACAAGAAGTAGCCAAATGGGTTCAACTCCATAACCATAAGGTTAAAGGGTGATAAAGCAAATTTATCTAACATTCAAGTTTCTTGCTGTAATTAAATCTTTTTAAATACAAGTTAACCTTCTCATGATTGGCATCCTTTTCTGCACATGTCATGAGGTTTTACAGAGTTATGTTCAGAATTTAATTAAATACTTTATTATTATAGTATACAAATACACTTGGAATCTTAAACATAACTAATAATCGAAATTTTAATATTATGTAAGCTTAAATTTTAATTTTATAAAAAAGTATGAAAACAAATCCTCAATTTTCCCTAGTATGAGAATTGTGATATTTGCTCTCTGGGTATCCCTTCTTCTGTAATTTATTTACCACCCTTCCGTAAAGTACAAAATTTAATGTAAATTACTCATTATAATGTTGTCATTCCTAGAAAATCAGAGCCCTATTATCACGTCCACCTGCCACATTCTCTCTTTCATAAATTGCCAATAATTATCTCTGATGTTTAATACTATATTACTTATAACCAATAGAAAGCCAAAGTTTTAATCTGTCAAATGTGGTATTATTTTACTTTATTTTCTGTACATAGAATTGAGTATTTTAAACTTTATTCCCATGGGAAACACATTGATGAGTTAGCTGAATTTTTAACAGCTCTTGTCGCATAATTAGAAAGCCAGAAACATTGTGGTAGTTCTAGGACATTGTCTCCTTTTTGCATGTTATTATTCTGTGTTCTCTGGTGCATTATTTAGTTAAATAAAAATTTAGTGCAGTCATTAGTATAAATTGTTTCCTCGACAGTCAACAGCTAAAACAAAATACCCCCAGGTAATTACTGTATTTCTTGTTTTTATGTGTATTCTTTATTTATCATTATAAGTGTAACTAAAATGTAAAAAGTAGAAACTTTTTAGGTTAGTTAAGTTTAGATTGGCTAAAATAAAGAATAATAATAGTTTTTCATGAGGTATGCTCATGAGCAAATTGTGAGTAGCCTGTGCATTGAGTAATTCAATAGGATAACATGAGATACACATTTGCAACTTATGTAGCAGGAATATTAGTTGGACACTGTTCAAAGGGCAATAAGACAATAAAATTTAAGTAGAAACAGATTTATACTGTAAAGAGCTTAAATCTATTTAGGATAAACAAATGTATAGAGACATCTCAAAAGTAAATATACTCCATGATTTTTTTCAATAGTCATTTATCTCACATTATCAACTTGACAAAAATGTTTACAAATGTGCATCAGTACTTAGTCAATTTGTCACTAGCATTTTTCAGTGCTTTGACTCGTTCTGGCATGGAATCCATGAGTTCTGCAATTTTCTCCTGTAGGATCTTGACCCAGGCTGCACAGAACATCAAGTAGTTCTCCACGGGACACTGGTTTTCTAGAACTTCTTCTCACTGCTCGAGCAAGTATGGCCCAGACATGCTCGATGGGGTTCATATCAGGTGACCGATTTGGCCATGGGAGCCGTTGGATGCCTTTCTTAATTAAATGACTTTTGAATAAACATAATAGTGTCTATTTACTTTTGAGATGTCTCTGTAGTTTCTTGTTACAATTTGAAGTCATTCTAGAAATAAAGAAAGGCTAATTTTGATCTATTTCTTATTTTTTTATGGTGGTTACAAGGTAGGTCCAATTAACCAGTCTCATAGGTTTAGGGAAGAGAAAATAACAGATAAAATATAATGTTTTACCAAAAAATAAATGTTCGAAACTTGTTTAGGAGGATTTAGAGATTACACAAATGAAACTTGAGAATTTTCAGATGAAGAAAAGTATTTTTAATATTAACATGAAAATTAGTTTGTACTCAAAGCAGTCAACATTTTGACCTCATATAATCAGAGAAATGTTTAGTGAAGATACTTTATTCAAAATCCAGATTTTTTGTCTACAAAATACTTGATGCTTACTGAAAGCTTGTGAAATTTCGTGAAGATGCACAAAACATTAGAAGTTATAGTATCGAAACTCTAAAGGTCTATTTGGGTTCAAGATTTAGGTCAAAGTGACAAAGCTTAAATAGAAAGCCTGATAAACTATGGTGGAATTTTATGGTATTGGTATAGTAATTTATAGTTTTTTTGTTATTTCAAACTGCATATATAAAACCTACAAAAATAATTTTTTTTTTACATCCTCCTTTTGTGAAGTTCAACAAGGCTTACCAAGTATGATGCACAAGTACAAAATCCATTGTAACTTAATAAGTAGTAAAGATCATTGTTTTCTATATACTTTTTATTTACTGTTTTATGTTTTAAGAAAAAGAACTGAAATTTATAAATTTATTTATATATATAGTAATGATATATATATATATATATAACATATTGTAACCAAAATGTCGCTGTATTTTACAAAATACCAGTATGCTAGTACTAAGACTAGGAAGAGTAAGACATTCATACTTTGTAAAAAACAGTTTTATGCTATTTGATACTTCAAAATGAACTGCACATGCACTGCATAATTTACAATTTGTGTTTGTATGTTTGTTTGTTTTTGCATTTCGTACATAGCTACACGAGGGCTATCTGCGATAGCCATCCCTAATTTAGCAGAGTAAGACTAGAGGGAAGGCAGCTAGTCATCACCATCCACCGCCAACTCTTGGGCTACTCTTTTACCAACAAATAGTAGGCTTGACCGTCACATTATAAAGCCCCCATGGCTAAAAGGGCGAGCATGTTTGGTGGGACAGGGAATCGAACCTGCAACCCTCAGATTGCGAGTCGAGCGTCCTAACCACCTAGCCATGCCGGGCTACAATTTGTGTGGCAGGGTTATTAGTTAGACACAGTTCAATGGCCAATAAACGAAAAAAAAAAAAATTATAAATATAAATCGATGTATACTGTTACAAGATTTAAACTATGTAGAATAAACATTTGTGGTTTCCTGATACAATTTAGTCATTCTAGGACAAAAAAGGGGTAATTTAAATTTATTAACTAATTTTTTATGGTGTCTATGAGGTCAGTCAAATTGACCCACCCCATACAGAGTTATGGTAGAGAAAATAATAAGTAAAATATAAAAAAAACGTTTGATAGTTATTTAGGAGGTTATAGAGGTTACACAAAAGCAATTTGACAATTTTGAAATAAAGAAAAGTATTTTTAATTTTCAAATCAAAATGCATTTGCATGTTGGATAGTCAACATTCCAAACAAAAAATTTATGAGCAAATCTTTAATTAAAGAATCTTAATACTTAATATAAAAATAAACAATATTTTCTGTATGAAAGCCTTTTAATATTTACTGATAATCTGCAAAATTTCCTGAAGATATGCATACATTATCAAAAGTTATAGCATAACTACTCTCATGGTTATATAGTAGGAGCAATGCACCTAGACCCCTAGTGAAAGAGTTAAGCAAGATGTGTTAATGTGCTTGTAAAAACTTGTGTGGAGATGAGTTGTACAATGTAATCTTATGATGGTGAGCACAAAGTAGGCCTCAAGTGTCTTAACTTTAAGTTTAATACCGTGCAGAATATTCATAGTTCAGCTTTATCCATGTTTTTTAATTTTCTACACACTAGGATTATGTAGAACAAGTAATGACTGCATTCATCAGACTTTTGGTGAACAGTCGTGATGAACTAGCTCTAGCTATGGCCATTACTTCACCACTGGTTGGTCTCAGTCATGCTGCCTTTACTCACTTAAAACACAGGTCAATGGAGACTGGGATGCCAATGTGCCAGGTAAGTGTTACACATGTTTAGAATCTCAACTACATGTAGATTATTATCCATTGAACCTGAAACATTATCATGTAAAGGTTTCAAAGGAATAGAATCTTACCAGTTGTTAAAGGAAAACAAAATACTTCCATCAAATGGAACTTTTTTTTCTGTAAATTTATAGAAATCTAAAATTAAAAAAATTCATTTTAAAATACACATTAGCAAGATTTCCATGTGTAAAGTTTACAAATGGACAACTTCACCGTGTATATGAGTACTGCCACGTTGTAAGCCTTCACTGGTCAAAAGCAATAATAGAGTACTTCATGATATTAAGTCTTTCAGGGACAAATTGGCAGAATCTGTCAACAGTGAGTAAATTGATACATGTGAAAGAGAAAAGTATTTAGTGTTCTGGTTGGATCTTGTTAAAAAGGGTCACATGATTTTGCACTACTGAAATGTCTGTTGTAGAAAGTAACATTTACGTGACAAATTATTAGCAATCATCATGGAGCCAGACAGTAGATTACATGAACTCTAAAGGTGAATATAAATTACCTGTGTGTAAATGGCTTGAAGAATAGTGGGATTCAATATAATATCATCATCATCTACATGTTCTGTAATGCAGTCCTGACTTCCCAAGTTTGATATTGTTAAATCAGATCCTGTGCAGTGCACATTTTTTTCAACAGTCCAGCTGTGCACATTGTTCATGGCCACACCACTTGCTCAACTGTATGGCTTCACTTTCATTTTGCTCCTCATTTAAATGCATGCCATTTATCTATTCTGCTGAATACATTGGCTCAAAATTATAACAATTAATTCCTAATGTAAGTTCATTGTTCAAAGTGTGCATGCCCTGACCTTTTACAGAGTGCCATTCAACATGGTATTATGAATTTGATGTTGGGGTTATCAACTTTCATGATACCCCACATTGCTGATTTTGCGACAATTTGTGTCAAGAGTAAAGAAAATGCTAGACACAATATACAGGGACACTGAAAAAACTTTAAAGAACCTCCTAAATGCACATGTAGAGGTTATACAAATATAACTTTCAAATTGTACAAGAGACAAAATATTTTTATTCTTCACATAAACATCACCTTGAATCTGACTTGTCAGAGCCTGAGACTGACTTTGAGATTTCACAGATGTATCTTTAATACTAAAACTTCAGTAATACACCTGATTTTTTGTGTACAACAGACTTGTACTATTGACCACATTTCATGAAGGTACAATTTGGAAATTCTGAATTGTGGTCAACATTACTTCTCCACTGGACCAACGCAGTGCACATTCAATTAAATGGATTATGTACCAAAAACATCACATTGTAGAAAGGCTTCAGGATAAAATTAAATCAGTTATTCCCAAAATTATTCTATTTTACAGGTTGTTATTCATTAAATCCGGTATTCCTAAACTAAGCATGAAAATAAATTGATCAAACTTAAAATATTCTTAAAGTTACAAAAACCAGAAATTACACCACATAGTGAACATAGGCCAGCTTTGTAATATTCTATATGACAATCATGTATACTGTAGCAAGTTTAAAAGGAGTAGATGAAATGTACATTGTATGCATATTGGTGCTTTATGATGTATGCTTACATGAAATATTAGGTACAAGTCTTGGGTTTAAATCTGAGGCAAGGAAATATATAAATCATGAAAAAATGAAATGCAAATTTACTTTAACCCTAACCTGGCTTTTCCCATACATCATAAACAATATGATAAAACTGAAATTCATAATTATGCCTCTGTTATCATTCTTTGTTGTCATTACCATTAAGTCGTAAAGGATAATGCCTATGGTAATTGCACCCAAATATGTTTTGGGGATATTCCATCTATCAGGCAAAACCCAAATGCAGATGTAAAACTTGCCAGCAACTGAGGAGAATCAGTTAAGGGTTAGGAGTTGAGTGCTTGAACCCACAACGTCTCAACTCCAACTGCCTTTCACTGTCTCTAGCCAGTTGTGGGAAGGCATTTACCCTTAATATTTAGAAATAGCTTTATCATAGAATTAAACCAATGTGAAAAAATTGTACAAAGTAAAACTCCCAATCTCCACCCTTTTAATTGATCTTATAAAAAATAATAATATTCTTATAGTAGAAATGAGCCACCCTAAATTTCTGCATAACTCCCAACCTCCACCCTTTTATTTAATAACTAATTATTTGTGTATTTCACATTTAGCTATATTGCATCAAAGGTGTACAGGCAGTTACTTAGCTATGCACAGCCCTGACAAGGTAATTACGTAAAAATAACATTTTTAATTAGATGTATGCAGCATCAAATACATGATCATGACAACAAAACTGTAACAGAAGAATGTAAAATCATACCATTTATACAGACAGTGAGTGATAGTGGGATCTGGAACATTATGGGGTTCTAGTAACCAGTTCCTAACCCCTTACTGAATCTGTAACTTGCTTTCAGGTTTTGCATCTGTTGTTTTGATTGTGTCTGATAGATGGAATATCCCTAATGCTTTTGGGTGTTATGGCCAGACATTTACAATTTTGTATGCTTTTGACGTGGTATATATATAAACAGTGACATACGACTCGTACTGAAGATACGCATACACACACACACACACACACACACACACACACATATATATATATATATATATAATAACACAGTGACATCGACTCGTACTGAAGACACACACACACATATATATATATATATGATTTATTTGTGGAGGAGAATAAATAAATAAATGAATTTTAAAACTGAAGCCACAAAACAAGCTCCCAACACCAAGCCATAAGGTAGGTCATTATGTAATATGCCCTAATTTTTAAAACTGCAGCCACAAAACAAGACTCCCAACACCAAGCCATAAGGTAGGTCATTATGTAATATGCCCTAATTTTTAAAACTGCAGCCACAAAACAAACTCCCAACACCAAGCCATAAGGTAGGTCATTATGTAGTATGCCCTAATTTTTAAAACTGAAGCCACAAAACAAGCTCCCAACACCAAGCCATAAGGTAGGTCATTATGTAATATGCCCTAATTTTTTGAGGTACTGGTAGAAGTAAGACTCAAAATGCATTAGGGTACCCTACCTACTTAATTTAACCTCAATTTCACTGGCTTCACACGTTTCAAAAAATTAAAAAGAAAAGATGTGAGTGATCAAGTCTCCAACATCTTTACCACCTTTTGCTATCTGCAGCCACTAATACATCTAGACAAACAAATTGTTGTAGTAAGAACAACAATAATTATGGTACATCTTTACCACCTTTTGCTATCTGCAGCCACTAATACATCTAGACAAACAAATTGTTGTAGTAAGAACAACAATAATTATGGTACATCTTTACCACCTTTTGCTATCTGCAGCCACTAATACATCTAGACAAACAAGTTGTTGTAGTAAGAACAACAATAATTATGGTACTATACATCAATGAAGAGACAGCAAAACTGTCGTTGAATTAGCATTCCAGCCCTCTATGTGATGTTTCTATACAAATACCAAGATATTACAGTACTATTATACTACACCCAACCTTTGTCTTTTAGTATAGCTCCCATCCTCCACACTTTCATGCTATTATCTTGATCTCCTCAGTAATACCACTTCAATGGCTCTAAAAAGATCCACACAGTTACAAGGGAATGTGATACAACTACATTAGTCCACCTACATAAGAAATGTAAATGTTCAAATAAGCAATTCTAATTATTTCCCTTCCCATCAATAAATATTAGTAATTATTTTTTACTGTATATAATATAATTTCATGTATGTCATTATTTTGAAATTTATACAAATACTTCATTTTTATATATAGACACACACAAACACACACTGTGGTCTTCTATCATATTAATGAACCAAAAGTCAGTATTATGACTGGTGGTGCATAAGGTTATGTGGGTAGAAATACAAGATTGAAGAAACAAGTCACAGTTGGCAAAACAATGAGTATTCAAGTAAGAACTGAAGAAAAGTTAGCAATATGAATACAAAATGTATTTAATACATATTAATTTGAAGTGAAACAAATATATACATTCAGTGCATAACTCGTATTTCATTTTTCTTCTTATACTTAAGACATGAGAATCATACATAATTATGCAAATGGTATAAATTGAACTACAGGAACACAGGATTTTTCACATTTCAGACAGCTGTCTCGTATGTGATGAAACTTCGTCTTGGTGGTAAAAGTTATGCACCTCCTTTGAATTGTTCCTTGCGCCCTTACACTAAAGGTCTTGGAATTTTTGTGGATGTCTTAAATTCACTACAGATAATAATGGAGGAAGATTTCTCAACTGAGTAAGTTAAAACATATTTATTAAGTTGGATATACATCTGTTATGGATGAGAATGTAATTACATATGAAATTCTGTTGGATAACTTTGTAACAGTGAAATAAACTTCCCATTAAAATTGGACTAGAAGATGAAAATAGCGACTTTTTTTGACTTGATATATTTTCAAAAATAAAATATGAAAAAGTAGTGATATGATGTTGGTGCTCAAAATTCTTAGAAATTTTAACTATTTGCCTTTGGATTATACATTTTAATTTTGGACTTGTTGACATTGAAAACATAATTTTAGAGGAGATCAAATTAAATATAAAAGTTTAATGTTACCTGATGTGTTAAGCATTATTAATAATCAGAGTTACTTAACTGATGGTATTTTGTGTTCATATAGACATTGTTACTTTCAAGCTGATTTAAATAATTATTTACAGATGTGATAAAGTAATGTTGGATTTTTTAAAACTGATGGGTTATCATAATGTAATGAATTACATAGTTTTGGTGATTTTTAATATAGAAGGAATTTTTTTAACTTGTTGTTTTATTGATAATCTTTATTATTTACAGGACTATTTATTAGCTAACTATTTTATTGTTAATTTTTTAACTATTTAGTTGTTGTTTTCTTTGTGCAAAGCTACACAATGAGCCATCTGCACTTTGTCTGTTACAGGGAATTGAACCCCAAAGTTTTAACATCGTAAGTGCACTGGGAGACTGTTATTTTAAGGATTTTTTTTTAGCTGACTATTTTATTTGTACACAAATATTCCAGAACTTTCCTTAACCTGTGGCTGTAGACACCTTGTTGACAGCTAACTATGGTATTTTAAAAGCTGACCTTGAAAAGCCAGTGACTTTTAAAATCTGCTACTATATTTTCTTTAAACATACTCATCACAATATTCAATTACACTGTTATGTAGTTAATAACACATTATAATTACTTCATGCTTTAATTATTTTTACGAGATAGATATATGGTGAGAGCTTTGATTTAAGTAGCTTTGGGAATATATTTTTCTTAAAAAAGTTTGGGTTGGGCTATCTCAATTTTTTAATTTTCAGAAATATTCTAGCTTCACAGGATGGTGTGCCTTAAAATTTCTTCAGTGTGTAGAATGTGTTGTATTATATGGAACAATCTTATTTATAGTTAGTTTGCTCTAGATTTTTACGTTTCTCTTTTGACAGGTCAGCTGTCAGAAGAATACTTAATATTCTTAAGAACAAGTTCTTAAAACTTGCTGTACCTGACATCAAGGCCAACAGCATTGAGACTGTTTTTGAAAAGCTGCATGTACTCACTGTTGATCTCCTTAGAAAACAAAGAAACAACTTGCTAAGTCTAGAGGTAAGACTTATTTTTTGTTAAATCTTAAAAAATGTGAGTATACTTATGTTCTAATCTGTTTATGGAATTTGAAGGAAGTGTGCATTATACAATTTATCTGTACAAATGTGTCATATAAGTTTTATGTAGAAACATTATGTAGATTCACAAATGTTTTCTCTTTTAATGTATGCTATTATAATAAATGGACATACATTAAAATGTAAGTTGTATTCATACATATATAATTTTGATACTTTTTATTATAAGTAATCTCTGTACACATTCCAATTTTCAGTGTGTTACCAACAAGAAGTATTGGAAACTAAATCTTTAAAAAATTCACCTTCACAGATGTCCCAAGAACTTTGTGTTCTTGTTGAAAGATAGTAGTCCAATTGAATTATGAAATTTTTAAACTAAAATCTATAGAGAAACAACCTATATCACTGAAAATTTCTTGAACTTTTCTCTTCATTAGTAGTGCATACAGACCTGTAAGTATTAAATTACAAAATATTTGACTGAACAAAATCTCCAGTGCAATAAACAAAATTCTCAAAAAAAAATGAGTTCCAAACAAGTGAAAACCTTGGGTAGCAGTTTAAAAAAAAACTCATTTATTTAGATGAAGTATACCTAATACTGTGGTACTCTCTGAGGGTAACTTTGTACATTATGGTATTTTAAGGTTCCTTAATTTGGGATCTTCCTTATTTGTGATTTCCCATAGAATTCTAACTAATCTTATGGTTCTAAGCTTATACTTGTTAAAGTAATGACTTATCATTCTACATATAACACTTAAATTATCATGTTGACTTCCATTATATATTTTGGAATAATAAAAAAAAAGTATAAAAATATTTTTAGTTCCTTTCAAGCATTTAAGAACAGACTTACTAGATAATTCTCATGTATGTTTGTGAATTTCGTTATCCACTCTTTAGTGATCTGAAAGTAAGATAAACTCTTAGGAAAGAAATGTGTTTTCAAAATTGAAATGAGTTGTAGTTTTCTGTTCCTTTTTATATTATCATGATAAGATGAACAATAATTTTTGTATTGTTATGATAACAAGATAAACAATAGTGAATGAATCTTTGTTGTATTGTTACGAAGATAATAAGATGAACTATAATGAATGAATTTGTATTTTGCATTTTTTTTAACCACTCTGTTATGCATTTGGTTTTGCTTTCAGCAAGGAATCCATACAACCACAATGCTAGGGCAGTCAACATTTCTAGTGTTGAGGGAACTAATAGACTGTGTTAATACATCAACAGTTCATCTTGATCCAATGACCATCCTTAGTGGCTCTGGCCAGCAGAGGACCCCAATGACCATTCCCAGTGTGTTTGCATATTTCAGGTCAAATGAGCAATTCTTTTACTAACAATTTTTCAATTTTAAATATCTGAAACAGTCATTAGAATAATTCTATAGTTCCTCATTTCAGTTATCATTATTCCTTAGTATCTAATAGAGATAAGTATAGGCACCATCTCGGAACACGCATTTGGTCAGGTTAGTAATAAAGGAGACTTAATGGTAGCTCTAACTACCATCTTGGAACATGAATCGTTTGGTCAGATTAATAATAAAAGCAGTGTTCCCATTGGTCAGGGAATTTTGAATTAGGTCAGGGAAATTTGAAATTTTAGCAAAAAAGGAAAAGTTGGGGAAATTTGAAACTCCTGGATCACTGTTTTGGAATATGCGTTAAAATACATGGCTAAGACAGTAATTTTCACCCATGGCTTAGTTCTGATTTGTCTGTCAACACTTGCTATCTTCAATAATTTATCTTAATACAAAAATATGTACATTGAGAAGAAACTAAAAGAGATTTGCACCTTTTTTCTTTTCAGGTGGCTGCAGTAGAATGTTGGTGGCTATATTGCTTGATAAGCTTACTAACCATACACATTCTGACTATTTTAAATTTTTAATATCAACCATTATACATCATAGATCTTCATAGAAGTTTACTTCGTCATTTTTTCTATGAAATACAAGCACTAAACTCCTTCCAGCTTATCTTGTTTAATCTTGGTTACAGGCAGGTGGTAATGTACTAATGAAATTGACTTTCTTGGAAATTAATTTTTCTTTTTTTGGGGCAATGAATGCTCAGAATGGTAGATACCTATTGATTTTATAACTGAGAAAATACTAATAGAACGAATAGCAAACATAGTTTAATATAGACTGGCTGAGTGACTGAATTTTCTTTATGATTAGGAAAGGACCTAGCTTCAAATCTAAGTACATGTGGAAAAGGCACTCATGAGCCATGCACAAGGAAAACAGCATAAGACCAAAGTATAGTTAAGTGCTAGGGTTGAACAAGACGTTTGCCTCTTAACTGCTTTCTGGTATAAGTCAGAGCCATCGACTAACCAAGGTGAAATGAAGGTTGAGAAAGATCATTTGGTTGTACTACTAACACCAGCACAAAAGCCACAGCAACCAGATTTTATGTTAAGTGACGTAAATTCTATGGATATTGAAAATCGTTCTGAGACATTACTCCTGTAGTTCAAGTTCAAAGACTAACCAAGTGTTTATAAAGGTGATTCTTGACACCACTATAGTGCAAAGATTTTCTTGTGGTGAAACAAAATGCTTTTATTTGGTTTGTTTTAGACTCAGCATTTATTCCAAAGAAGATTTAAGAAGCAAAATTCAACAGCTAGGGACAATTTTTGAGGAAGAACAAATGGACTTTTTGCTTCACTTCTGGGACAGAGAAAAGAACAGAGTTGTAAATGGATATTTTAATTATGTGTTTAAGAGTTGCTTGGAAAGTTTAAGATAGGACTTTCAAAACTAAATGCTGGAAATCTTTCTTCAAGTTTCAGTGAATGGACCAGATACCAACAGTGCAGGATTGAGAGGAATCTGCCCCTGACATTCCAGTGTTTATCAATTTGGAGTTCTATGGACTGTATGTTGTATGTGGAGCCCTTACATATGGAGCTAGTAAGACTAGATGGAAGCTGGACAGTGTGATTGTTTCTCTGATTCTCCTGCTAGAAGAGAAGATTATCTAGCTACTAATGAGAGAAATGCACAATTTTATTTGAAGTTTTTTAGCTGAAAGGACCATCCACATTAAAGCAAAGGTCAAGAAGTATATGAAACAAACCCAGAAATTGCCCAAGATTAAGTAGCTAACATGCTTAATTTGCAAACCTTGCAAATAACACACAAGATCCTTTGATGCCAGCATAATTTAATTCTATTGTGTCAGGTACCAAAAGTCTTGGTACCCTTCTTACAAACATTCCAAACAGACAAGCCATTGATGACATTTATTTTGAGGAGCTTCAGAATATCCTTTAAACAATTTTTTTTTAATTTATAAAGAAGTCAGTGCTTGATTCTGCAAAAGTGGATGATTCAGAACAACAATAATATAGTGTCTCTGAACAAAATAGAATTTGAATCTGCAGCCAGGTAACTCATTGAACAAGCAGAGAAAGACAATCATGCTATCCAATTTTAATTATTCAAATTTCAGAAAGAGTATTTCTTTTCTACAAAATTTGACTGAGAAATTGCTGGAGAGATGTCCTCTGAAATATTCTTATGTTAGAGCAATGAATCATTTGGAACCAAGATTTATAATTAAACACCCACAAAAAAGCAACTGCAAAACTTCATCTGATTTTGCAGAGATATCTCCAGAGCAGATGGGTTATCAGCCGGCAAGTGCGATCATGTACTCCAACAGTTTAAGTTGTGGTGAAGAGAAATACAAAACTTGCTCAGAAGATTTTAAAAACTATGTTAACAGAGAGACAGGCTAGATCAAATTTATTATGGCATCATGGGTCAAAAAGGAATCCTATTGCTCTTATCCCATTGTCAGTCAACAATAGAAAGAGGGGGGTCTCATCCAACAAAGACATCTTGACTGACAATTTTAGTGAGGAATGACTTAATTTATACACAAGGATATAAGATTGGTTGAAAGAAATAGGATGCGAGTTAATTGATATCCCTGTCACAAAGAAGATGCTAGATGCATTTAGAAGTTCCAGGATGAGGTACTAACTGTATCTGACTGAGGAAAAGAAGATAAATATTGCTAGTCAAAGTAATTTGAGAAAGAAGGGCCTTTAAGGGAGTTGATTGGCTTGAAGCAAGCAAACAGAAGCTGGTGTCAAGTGTAGAAGTGCTGATAAGAGAGGCACATTAACTTCCAAAACAAGCTGAAAAGAAAATGAACTTTCTTATATAATCATATGGTCTTAAAGCTAAAGTTTTAGAAAAGAGAAGCACAAAAACAAAGAGCAAGGCCCTTGAAAAAACCTACAACACCCAACAACTGGCCTCAAATGGACTCCAAAGATCCCAAAATCAAGCTAAACAGGCCACTATTATCCCTGAGCCTAGAGGATAGACACCACCAAGACTGATGGGGCTAAAGCTACAAATGGTGGAAGAATGGATGAGGCCAAAGGAACAGGAGGGGGTAGATGGAGAGGAGAGGAAGCAGGAGCATGGGAGGTAGAGATAGGTAAAGGAGCTTGATAAAGACAGGAAACAAATGAGGACAAAGAACAATGTTTGTGTGTGTCCTCAACATGGGACTCCAAAGAATCAGGAACTACACTGAAATGCTCTGGTGTAGGAAAGGAACCAGTTGAAGGTCTTCAAGATAAGAGGGAAGCAAACACACATGAGTAAGAAGGGCATCCCACCCCAATAACAGATCAACCAAGTATGAAGTGATAAGATCAAGGAAGGTAAATGTGCCAAAGTAAAGAAGTGAAAAACTATCTGCCAAAACCTCCTCAAGAGAATATTGGATTGCTTTGCAAAGAAGGTGAATGGAAGAAAGATAGCAAAAAAGTATTGTGAGTGAAAGACAAAAGAGGAAAAATTGAGCCTCTGAAAGTTGAACAGAAGACAGAGAATCTGACCAGAAGTCATAAGAAGAGACTCCAGGGTTTGGAAGTCCAAGAAAGGGAATGCAGTTTGATGTTAAGCCCAGGTATATGTGGCAACAAGGATGAGGCATGCATGCAAGAGAGTGAAAGTAAGATAAAAAATATCCAATATGGACATGAATATCTGAGA